TTTCTTAGAGTATTGACAGCTTGTGCTTTAGACTCATGGAGAGCTTGGTGTGTGCTCCTCATGTTGGCCATCATCTTTTACTCCTGAAACAGAAGCATAGCTCTGTAGGAAAAGGGCCCATTAGGATCCGAGAAATAACTGTCAAAACAACTTGGCTGATTCTAAGGCCATCTCTCACTTCCAGTCGTGACTCTTTTCTTAACTCAAATTATTCCTGTGCATATATCCATGTCTTCCTGTAAAGGAACCTTCACTGGAATCCCTCCCTACCCCACTTGTCCTTCAGTGCACACAGAGGGGCTGAAATCTCCACAGGGCACGTGGTTAGACTCTACTGCCAAACACGGCTATGAATATGTCTCCATAAGCTCTGCAAATCACATCAGAGAAGCCAAGTTTCTTGTAAGGTTAAATCTGTTCAACCCCCAACTATACTCAATTACCTTGAAACTTAAAATTGAGTTCCAGAATATGATGAGAAAATAAATTCCTCATTCACCAAAACTTAATTCTTAAATGTTTATGGTTTCTAAGAAAACTATTTCAGCCAGGCGGTGGCAGAGCTCACCTTTAAGCCTAGTACTTGAGAGGCAAAGGCAGAGGGATCTCTGTGAGTTCAAAGCCAGCCTGGTCTACAGAGATAGTTCCAAGACAGCTAGGGCTGTTACACAGAGAAACCCTGCCTTGAAACCCCCTCCAAAACAAAACAAACAAACAAACAAACAAACAAAAACTATTTCATTAGCATATGCCAACTTTCAGAGGGGGGCTCATAAAATTATTTAAATGAGAAATAACCCCTAATCTGCATGAGCTAGCTTATGCTTAACTATCTGGTCATCTGGTTGACACACTTATATTAAAATGGCAGCATGTCAAATAAAAATCAAGGATGAAACAGTATCCCCTTTTTATTTTGAAAGTAGGGGAAGAAGTTAACTGGCACCCCACCCACCCACCTACCCCCTGTCACATGTGCCAGAGATACAATGCTTATATCTGTAGTGTATTTTGAAGAGATTTATTTTGGCTTGGTTACTGTCAACAACTGGCTAACAAGATCACCTTTGTGGAAATCTTTAAAAATTCTTACTGGATAACTAAAATGTTATAGTCTAGGGAAAAATGTGCTTCTGGCAGGGCCAAGGTCAAATTGGTTTGACACTTAATGCATCTGCCATAGAACTAGGAACATTTACATAAATGAAGTAAGTTATGGTTTTTGAGCTGTAACCATTCACCGTTACCACAGTCTTCTCTTCTGTACCCGTATCCGGCCACTGGACATGATTGTCTTCCTCTGTACACAGTCAATTCCAACTCAGCTATAAACAACTCGGTTAGCTGCCGCTGTTTCAAGCTTGTCTTAACACTTAACTTATTTAACTGTATTGAGAATTGGCATAGCTTGCTCTGTTTCTATGTTTGTCATGTTATGATATAATTTTTCGTTTTGTTCTCAGCTCACAAGAGTGGAAAGTTGGAGATAAAAAGGGATATTGTTTGTTTTGTTCGTATGCTATATCCTCAGGATGTGGAAAAGTTCATGGCACAAAGGTTTTACATAAATATTTGTTGAATGAGATATTACTTAGTGGTTATAGACATGTAGGCATGGTTGAAAAGGGAAGTTCAACTCCTCCATTGCTGGTGGGAGTACAAACTTGTATAGCCACTGTGGAAATCAGTATGGCAATATCTCAGAAAATTAGGGATCAATCTACCTCAAGACCCTGCTGGGCATATACATAAAGGAGGCACATTCACACCACAAGGACATTTGCTCATCTATGTTCATAGCAACATTATTTATAATAGCCAGATCTTAGAAACAACCTAGATGATCCTCAACTGAAGAATGGATAAAGAAAACATGGTGTTTTTACTACTCAGCGGTAAGAAACAATGACATCCTAAAATTCTCAGGCAAATGGACAAAACTAGATAAAAACATTCTGAGTGAGGTAACCCAAAAACAGAAAGACAAATACAGTATGTACTCACTCTAAGTGGATGCCAGACATAAAGCAAAAGGTACCTAGCCTACAATCCACAACCACAGAGAAGGTGGAACCCTCTTCTAGAAACAGATGGGAGCATATGCAGAATTCACAACTAACTATTGGGCTAAGCTCCTGGAGTACAACTGAAGTGATGGAGGAGTGATAATATGAATAAAGGAGTCAAGACCATGATGGGGAAACCAACAGAATCAGCTGACCCAAGCTAGTGAGAGATCACTGACTCAGGTCTGACAAATGGGGAACCTACATAAGACTGAACTAGACTCCCATAATATAGGTGACAATGGTGTGAACTGGGACAATATATGAGTGGGTCCAAGATCTAACACTAATGCACAAACTGACCTAGTGGAGCCTATATGGAGAGATACCTTGTTCAACCTAGACACAGGAGTGTGTGTGTGGGGGGGGGTGGAGAGGTGCCTTGGTCCTGCCTCATGAGATGATGGGACAGACTTAGTAGACTTCCTAGGGGAGGCCTTATCCTCTTAAAGGAGAAGATGGGAGGTAGGGGGAGTGGGGGGAGAGATAGGATAGGATAGAGAGGGACCTGGGATTGGAATGTAAAAAATAAATTAATAAAAAAAGAAAATGGAAGTTCAAGGTGAGTTAAGCATAGTTCTTAATACCCATATGGTCCTAAATAGATGATAAGAAAGTATCATTACAAATGGTGGGCTTACAAAGGAGAAATAGATATTGAGTTAGACTGTATACTCCATATACAAGTATTAGATTTACAGAAACAGAGACTTCTGTTCAGTGTGAATGGATGGTGAAGATACTGAGATGTAAGTATACTTTAGGAGGGAAATAAGTGTGTTTGATAATATTTAGATTTATCAATCAAAAGAATCGGAGTCTCGAGGAAATGATTTAAGTAGCAGAAAAGGAGAATTTAGGATCAGTAGAATAAAGGAAAGGTGATGACGAGTGACATGTTTTATGAGAACATGAACAGATCACTTATTAAAGAAACTTTTAAACAGTGATGTTAGAGAAAATGAGCCATGCCAACACTTGATGAAAAACTTGGACATAAGCAATAAGGACATTTAACCTTCATGACTTTCATTTCCCTTATTTGTCATTTGGTGGTAATGGGTTTTGCAATCACACAAGGTTATTCTGGGGTTCAAATATGTAATGATAATTCTGCCAGGCATTAATACATGACCATTAAGATACAACAGGCTTTTAGTGTGATCCTGAATGCGGTGGGATAGTGGATAATAGGATATGTACTATGGCTTAAACTATATAAAGAAAAATACTGTGAGGAAATATTTTTAAAAACAATTATACTTCTCAAATATGAGAAATGGGATTCTGGGTTTTCTTATTTCTCCCTCAGTTTTTATATTCAAAATCATCATTGAGAAATACGTCTTAATTTAAACTGTATTTTGTTCAGTAGACATCATCTTAGGTGCTGAGATTGTAGAAATTGCTAAGAAGCTAAGAACATGAAGGAGGGCCTGAGTGCAAAGCCCTGGGGCCCATGTGAAGCCAATGCAAAACCAGCTGTAACCTCAGTGTCCCTCACCAAGTAGTGGGTGGAGACAGGAGAGTGCTGGGGCTTACCAGCTGCTTATCTACCTCCAGGTTCAGTAAAAGACTCTCTCAATTGTTCGATACAACAGGATTCCTAAAACTGTTCTCTGACTTCCATGTGTGCATGGGCATGTGTGCTAGCCAGGTGCATCACACAGACACACACACACACACACACACACACACACACACACACACACACACACACACACCTTGAGTGCTGAAAAAATATTGGTGATTAAAAGCCAAGTCTGCTCTCTCAAGGGGCTTGCATTTTAGTTGACAGAATCAAACATCAAGAAATATGGATACCTCAGCAAACTGCTAGTAATTGTCACCCAAGTAGGATAGTGTTGGAAGACAATACTGCTGCTAAATGGAGGGATTAAGGAACTCCTTAGAATAGAGACTATTCAAACACAGGCCAATATGATGAATGATTTCCAAAACCTAAACCTAGAATTTGGAGAAAGTTCCAGGCAGTGAGACAGGTATCAAAAGCCATGACTGGAATGTTCTAGGTGTGTTCAAGGACAGAAGGAAAATGGATGTGTCAGGGACCCAGTGAGGCAAGGAGAAAAGTGGAGGGATAAGGCCAGGAGGCTACATGAGCATCAGGTAGGAAGGACCTTTGAAGCCCTGTGAGGAAACTTGATTTTCTCAGTGCTACAGCAAGATCTTGGGGTATTTAAACAGAAAGAATAAATGATTTCTTCCATTTTAAAAAATGTTTTCAATACATACATTGATAATATACATACATTTATAATACAATTAGATTCTTAAAGTGAACTCCAATTTCCTTCTTTGTAAATCAATCATCATATAAGTCTATGTGTATATATAATAATATAAATATGCTACATGTCTATGCAATGTAACAGCATTTTAGTCAAAAAATGGATGACATAGAGTAGAGTAGACTCTTAAGAGAAAGAACATGAAGTTGCTTGGGTAGAGAAATGGGGAGGAGTTAGGAGGGAGGAAAGAGTAGAATAAAAATATATTGTATGAAAAACCTTTAACAAAAATTTTTAAAGATTATGATTCCCAAGAGTGTAATAGTGATCTTGTGTGTTTATGCATATTTTATGATTGCATAATAACAAAAGCACCCAACAGCACATCTCTTAAAACATACACTTGCCTTTATATGAAATAAATGCCTATAAATGTAATGTATTACAAAATGTAACATTAAATAATAAAATGAACTCCATCCTGATTCATTTCCTATTACATGATTTGCCAGAGTCTAACTTAATAGTTGGAGGGAGCTGCATTATTTTATGTCCAGCCACATACATTCTTTCTGGTGTTAGATATGTTTAAGGTGGCAATAGTTTGACATCACCTCTCAAGCTTTAACTAGAATACATAAAACCTGATAAATATTCAAACAGCATTTGCTGAGTTCTCATAATGGGTGAAGGTGAGTATTGATGAGCAACACTAGCCTTCTGAATGCCACTCTTGGGATTGAAATTTTTTGAGCTGTTATTTCCTTTTGCATTTTGTCTCCTCAGTGAAAAGAAACAGTGGTCCTATGAAGAGATAGATGATTCAGGTCAAACTTCCAAATGTTGGCCCATGCAGATTATATCACAGTGTATTTAAAAATTAATATGTGCCCTTTTCTTCCTGGCAAGCTTATATTTCTAAGAAATAATGAGCTGGGCTTTTTAGAGTGAGCAAACGCCCAGCAGAGTATTTTTGGCACTTAGAAAGGCACATTGACTTCAACTCCCCAAAGTGTCACCAGTGACTTCATTTTTTCTTTGGAGCAGTCTATAGAATCTCCTTCCCATAAGTTCAGAAGCACAGCGGTAAAGCAAGCCATTTTATCCAGCCTTTCAGTGTAACTACAGATGTCCATGCAGCCTTAATTCTGCCCTAAAAGTGAAACCTTCCTACAGGATGACATTAAATTGAATAAGTCCAGGATTTTTAAGCTCTGCAAAGGTAAATGCTGAAGCCACACAGCACACCACCATCTTTCCAAGTGCACAAAGCCTAGCTCCTACAGTGGTAAGGACTCCCAGCATACATGCTTTCTATACCAGAGGGCATTCACTCTGCCCTTCTCTCCCTTTAAATCAGAAGCAAGCTTTTTAAAAGTCTATCAGGTACTGTCTCCTTCAGTTTGTTCTGTTTTCTGTGACTGTCATTTATTGACCCTTAAGGAAGATAAATGAGAAGACAAAAGTGCTGTTGGCTGTTCCCACTGGAATAAAAAGATAATGCACCATTTCCTAAATCTTTAGCCTACAAAGCATCATTTTCATCTAGAAGAAAATGATGCTGATCTCCTGGGCTGTGGCTTTCCCCTTCCTCAGTCAGAACTGCATTTCTAACACACATTTCATATAGAGACCATAGCAAGAACACAGCACCATTCAGACACTGTGTGTGAGTAGCGTACAGTCTTGCTCTGTAAGGAAACATGAGTAGAATTTAAGTCACTTCATAATGCTTAGAAATAGTACAACAGTTTATAAGAGCCAAGTCTCTTGTTCAAATCCTGGTCTTTCCTTATCACTCAAAATGAGAACCTGGAACCTCAAAAATTCCTGTGAAGCAAAGATAACAATGGCAACTGTCTCCTGGGGATGCCAGGAGGATAGTTAAGGCAAAGAATAATGTATATGAGTGTCTAGACCCATGCCAGGGCCCACATAAGTACATTAGAGGTAGTAACTATTATTTCTTATCAACACAGATAAGGATAATGGTTATCAGATCAAAAGAGGTTGCTTTATTTGAACATGGTCTTTAACAATCATATGCTTACATTAAACATTGTAAATATGGACTATGTTTTCAATTTTTAAACAGGTATTTTAAGTTGTCTGGCATACAATGTTGGTCTCCCAGGAGCAAAAATATTTTCCGGTCCTTCAAATGAACAGTTTGGCTATGCAGTGCAGCAGCTCAAAACCCCACAGGGCAACTGGTAAGTCTATTTTTTCTTATTATTTCAATAAAATATAATTGTATAAATATAATATTTGAATGACTATTCTCTTAATGGGAAGTGCTTTAATATGTCCCTTGACAAGTCTCTCCATCTTACTCTGGCTGGCCCAGACCCCACAGAAATTATGCTTGCCTCATCTTCAGGGTGTGTTGGGAATTAAAGGCACACCCAGTTGGGAGGAAAGGGTTTATTCAGCTTACACTCCCTCATCACAGTTCTCATCAAATGAAGTCAGGACAGGGATTCAAGCAGGGCAGGGAGCTGGAGGCAGAAGCTGATGCAGACACCATGGAGGAGTGCTGCCTACTGGCTTGCTCATCATGGCTTGCCCAGCCAGCTTTCTTATAGAACCCAGAACCACCAGCCCAGAGATGGCATCACCCACAATGGACTGGCCCCTCCCCCATCAATTGCTAATTAAGAAAATGCCCTACAGCCTGATCTCCCGAAGGCATTTTTCTCAATTAAGGGTCTCTCCTTTCAGATAACTCTAGCTTGAGTCAAGTTGATATAAAACTAGCAGGACCTTACCCAAGCCCCCCCCTTTTTTTTGCAGATTTTTTAAAATTTGAATTAGAAACAAGATTGTTTTACATGTCAATCCCAGTTTCCTCTCCCTCCCCTCCTCCCCTACCAACCCTCCCAACTAAAAGGATATTACATATCCTTTCTGCTCCCCAGTGAGGGTGAGGCCTTCCATAGGGGTCATCAGAATCTATTATATTCTTTGGGATAGGGCCTAGGTCCACCCCTGTGTGTCTTGGCTCAGGGAGTATCCCTCTATGTCCTTACCCAAGACTTTTAATGTAAAGGATTACATTTATAAACCAGAGCTTTATTATCTGGTGAAAAATGACTACCTTTGAGAAACTATATATCTATATATGTATATGTATACATATAATGAATATATATAATGGATATATACATACACATTATTAATTTAAGTTTACTGGGGCAGTAATAGAAAAAACTCAAGGAAATGACTCTGAAAATTATGTTGAGGAAGGCAAGTTTCTTTCCTCTACAATTTGATGCCCATTTATGGACAGGTTCCTGGAACCAAACCTCTCTGTTGGGGCACAAAGACTTAAGCTCTGTCTACTTGGCCTGGAGCTTTAAGTCCTGATCTTCACTCTATGGATGCTTTTAAAGCATAACATGAACTTCAGGTGACTTTCAATGTGAACTTTCATGCTGTGAACTTACATTTGATTCTCTAATTCACTAAATTAAAAAAAAAAAACACCTATTTTACATCCAGGTTGTTTGTTGCCACATTGATGCATGCCTATCTGTGTGATGAGGAAAGAAAAGGCAACTATCATGGTTCATCATAGGCATTTAGACAAAGCAAATGTTGAGCTAGGTTTAAAATGACGGAGACAGGTGGACTGGAGAAGAGCCTGAACTACTTACTCTGATCGAGATCAGAGATCGAGACAGCAATCTCTGTTGAGAATAGTCTGTCAGCCTTGGAGAGAACAGCCAAGCTGTACAATCAAGGGCTAGCACTTACTGTAATCATTTGGAATACAGGAGGGAGCCACAGTCCTACCAATTATCATGTTTTCTTTAATTAGCATAGAGAAGAAAGCAAGCTAGAAGGTGATACAGGCCATGTTTTGACCTTAGAATCCCGTTTTGTAGGTTGCTACCCCAAGATTGATCTTCACCTAAGCAAGAAATGCATAACTATTTGCTAGGGCTGAAGAGATGTCTCCAAAGTTAAGAGTGTATACTGCTATAGTAGAAGCCCAAGTTTGGTTTCCAGTATCCATGTTGGATGACTATCAAGTGCTTATAATTACAATTCCAGGGATATCTGACACCTGTACTCACATGCACACATTTGCACACATATATAAATACATAATTAAAATACGTCTTAAAATTTTAAGAGAATAACCATTTGTTGAGTGACTAAATAAAAGGCCTACTTCCAAATGGTTCACCACAGAGAGCCTATGAGGTGAACTATTTGAGACTAACTTAGGATACATGGGCTAAGAGCTGCATGTGAACACCAGTGGTCTCCTACAGAGGCACAACCTAGCTAAGAACAATCTGGCACTGTGTTTGAGATTGTTTTGGTTTGTTTTCAGAATCATCTTTTCAGGGGCAGAATAAGTCTAAGCAAAAAACACTTATGGATTGGGGAAGAACTCAACCACTGGCTATGTGGCAATTGAATAAGACTAAAATGACAAAGAGATGACAGGGACCTTAACGGGTAGAATCCTGAGAAAATGAGAGTCAGTCCCTTCGTTTCTCTCTGTGTAAGAATTCAAGATATTGTTAAAAGGCATTGGTGTCAGTGGATTATATTGAAATTCCAGTGCTGATCGGGTGATGTCAAGACCAGGGACATCAGATAATTCTAAATCCTGCCTTAGCCTTCACATAATATTGCTTGTATAAATAATGGTAATGGCTATTGGGAAACAAGGCCCTACTCTATAATTGGTAGAGTTGGTGCCTTGAATACCAGTGTGGAACTTTCTGGTAAAGTGTAACTTTTAGTTTAGGATCACAGCCTTCCTTCCCTTCAGCTAGTATCTAATCATCAGCCTGAACAGACACACTGCACCACACAGAGGAGGAGGGACAATTCATGTCTGTCTAAGGGGCTGAATGATATGAAGGTACAAAGCAGAAAGGAAGAGAGCAAAGCTGGTGTGCAAGCCTGTCTGAAACCTCTCACTGTCTTGGTCTTGCCAAGCAAAGAAACAGAACAGGCTAAGCCACTGACAAAATTACCTAAGCCACAATGGATGGGATACAGTGCCTATGTGGGATGTAGGAAACACAGCATGGAACTTGCCCTCTGGAGTGTGGAACAGTCCAGAAGGAAGATTTATATACAGAATAGGAATGTATGAATAAGAGAGAAGGGCTAATTCAGTGCCAAGCCTTGAAATTGCTCCTGTTTTCATGCTTCTACCTCCATGAACTCAACAGTGAGAGCTCATTTTCCCTTTCCAAGGCCCAGGACACTAGAGGTAGGTACAAGATTTCCTCATGGCCTTTGCCATTAGCCCAACCCTGTCATTGGCCTTCCCTGGGTACAACGCACCAGGGCTAGGTAGTCCTCTTTCAGGACAGGCTGCCTTCACAGGGAAGAAGAAAAATAATTCGAAACCTGGGCTCCAGAATCGCCTATTTGTTTTGACAATTGGCACTGTGCCCTTCCCCACTCCTAATTTATGACAATTGCCCAGACGTTATGGAAATAGCAGCTGTGGGAAAAACTGTTTAAATATTAACTTTCCTTCTGATACTAATGAAGTTAACTTTTGCTAGGAATTCTTTCAATAAAATTGTGAGTGTTTGCTCTTGAGTCAGTTTATCACACACTCACGCACACAGACACACACACTCACAGATCCTTTTAGTTCATTATTGTCTTACTACTTACTCTGCAGTAGGTTTTCTCTTCCTTTACCTCCACTTACTTTAACGTCTTTACAACCTCTTCTACCCTTGACTCCATCTCTCTGCCCTTTTCTTCTAACATATTCGAGGTTCTAGTCACACTGTTATTTTAGGGTGCAGTTCAAGTTGTTCTATGTGTCTGATGTTAGGAATATAGGCATGTTTCACTTCAAGATCTACTAGATTTTAATGAAGCAAACTTGGCTATTTTTATTACACCCTAGACTTCTACTTTAACAGTATTGGTGACATCTCTATTATTTCTTGAGCCTTTTCCACAGTCCTCTGTGAACAGCATAGTTTTAAGAGCAAGTTGACCTCCCAAGCAGAGCTGCTGTGCAGCCCTCTGGCTAAGAGTAAAGCCTGGTGTGCTTTTCCTTTGGTGTAGGCAGAGGAGGGTCAACCTGCCTCCAGCCTGAATTTCATACACCGGATGTTCAACATGATGATGTAATCCTTATCACAAACAATCTACAAGGGCCTGAGACATGTTTAAGATCATTTCCTGGAACTAGTGGTAATATGCACTCTTTCTGTTTGTGTAATCTGAAGGCTTGCCCCAAGAACAATCTGAGTTCATTATATGACTCAAAATCATTGTAACTGAAATCACTTGTGAGACGAAGACTAAGAATGAGGGGTATTTCCAGTCATGGAAATGTATTTTCTTGTTTTGTCAAGGATTGGTGCTTTCTACTTCCTTATAAAGGAGAGAAGAACTATGAATGAATATTGCAGCAAAAAGAAACACTACCTCTATATATGGGCACGTGTTATTGTTTTAGCTTTTTGGTTAGGAGAAGTTTTAGTAAAGTTCTTTATTTACTATAAGTGTGATAGTCCCCAAACAAATGTCTCTGTGAGAGAAATTTAAATAAAAAGTCCCAAAGAAGTGAGGTATGTTCAGTTTGGAGGCAGGCATCGAAGGCTATGTGTGTAAAATATCCCCTGCTCTGACTTGCTTTTCCCAACATCTATTCTAAACTTTTTTTGTGGAACTCATTTACACACACACACACACACACACACACACACACACACACATTTGTGACTAATACATGAAAGATACCTGCTGTCCTAGAATGCTAGGGACACATGTGTGATCTATTGAAAATCCTCCATGCTCTCCAGACATCATGTCAGAAATTCCTCATGACAATATCAAATGCTTGCTCCAGAACAAAGTTTATTTGCAAGAGTAAAGAGCTTTAACACACATACTTTCCTGGCATCCAACCATCTCAAACATTTCCCTCCATCAGAACGTTCATAGATGGGAGGTAGTTGTGAATGTTTTTAGGTTCCATGATGAGCAAGTATTGAATTCTTGTCTAGAAGAGTTCTAAGAAGAGCCAGAACTATGGACTTGTGGATTCATAAGTAAAGGACATGGAAGTGAATCTAGATTCTGCTGCCACTTAGATGCTACCAGTTACTTTTCTGTTGCTGTGATAAAATATGGTGACCAAGGCAACCTAAGAAAGAAGAGTTTCCTTGGCCTTATAGTTCCTGATGGATGAGTCTGCTATGAGAAGACATGG